TACCATAAAAATGTTGTTTAATTTAGATTTTGGTTTAAAGAGACAAAATGTCAGATTATGCTGACTGAGAGCATCTTCATATTGAGTTGAAATCTAGAGTGACAGATGCATTAACGCTCAAGAGGAAGTGTGAGGAGGAAGAGCATCGACAAACACTATATTAAAGATGCATTCGTTTATCTTAACACAAGTTCAAACCAAAAAATATGCACTGCGTGGATGTTTACTAACACGATTTATAAATGTTGCATCTTAAAATAAATGCTTAAACTTTACAGCCGGCTCATTTGGAGCTTGTCAGATTATTTAAAGTCAAACAAAGTAAACCGGAATCTTATGGAAAACGAAAAATAATGGTGTCGCATATGGAGATTAAGAGTAGCGCTGTAGACAGGTAGTGACTGACATGAAGAGGATGTGGCTTCCGTGGGCAGCAAGAGAGCGTCAGACAGGAAATGGACCAGCACTTCGCGTGTTCAGAAGCCTGCCACCCTGACGACGTCTCTAAGATGGTGCTAATGTTTCAACCTGGGCCGCTTTAAACTAACATCCACCATTCTGATTCAACATCCGGACTGTAGTAACAGTTCATCATCACAGTCTAATGGTGGAGCATGTGCATTTGCAGACGTCTGCTGGATATGTAATTTAATTTAACACGAGTTAAAGCATTTATATTCCTTTTTATATGTCTGCCTTCTCTAAAATACACAGTTGGGACATTTTAGAGTTTGATATTATTTTAAAGCTCAAGATAATGCATTTAAAAAAACATGTAAAAAAGCCCTGATTAACTCATTTCTAGAATGATTAGTGAGCTTGTTCTCTTCTGAGAAATATTTAGATATACCTTTCTATCATAGATTTTCAACTCTAACAACATGCTGTTTACGTGCAAGTCAGTCTCCTCCGTAAGTGAAAGGACCCCTAAGGACCTGAAGTAAACATCACACTTTGCAAAATGATACGGGAACTTATCAGCAAGCTTTCTAGCGGACAAAATAAACAATCTCGTGATATTTATGAGACTTTTCCAATTAACTCAGGCTCACCTTGTATGCTGTGAAGGAAAACCTTTAGTCCTGTCCTGAGCTGCTGGTCCTCAACCCTCTCCAGCTGTTTGAGAAATTTGTTTAGAGTTTTCTGCAAGCTTTCATGTCTTCTCACCTCAGCTTTAATTGCAGTCGAGTTAACAACTTTATTTGTGCTATTCATATTTAGACCAATGTGACTGCTTAGAACGCATTGAGTTTCTCCTGTAACCCATCAGCATTTCCTGCTCGTTCTTTCATGTCAATGTCACGTACAGCAGCAAAAAGTTGTTCAAACTGTAAAGGATGCAGCTCAGAGCAGAAGTAGATCTGCTTGCATGAATTTCCTCTCTCTCTCTCTCTCTCTCTCTCTCTCTCTCTGTTCAATTCACTTCCTGATTTTAAAAAGTGTCACCATCTCATAGGCTGCTCTCTCACAAACAGGATTTTGTGGTAAATTCAAGACAACCGTTTAAAAAAAATAGGGTTTCAGAAAGGCAGCCTCAAATGTATTATCAGATTTAGAGCTGGAATGGTAAAACCTCAGCACTGATAATGAGAAATAAATACAGTATGAGGAAATTGGGGCTAGTTGTCACATGCTGTTTTACAGACAAGTGAATTTTTCATAAATGTCACATTTTATGACATTAATACTGGGGGCAAGTGTTTACAGGTTTCTTTATATATATAAAAAGGTAATTTCATACAATTAATTAGGCCTAAATAGAATAAATGTTGTTATCCAAATAATGCTTAGATTTTTTTTTTATCGTATTAGGCTTTTTAATATAAGGTTCTCATTAAGTGTCAACAAATTATTTAATGTATGTGCCAAACATAAATTGACATTCAAAAATAAACCTATCCTGAGAGATATTTGCTGAGTTGAAAAGTGTGACAATTAGTCTCAGCCTTTCCGATATTACAGTTCCATAAAATATGAAGATATTTGGCATTTACGGGAATTTGATGCTCGAGGTGAGAATACATACATAAACATAAATGTCGTAGTGTCTTCAGGCCTTCAAGTTCTTAGTGTCTGATGTAGAAAGGGCCTGTCTTTATCATCAGTCCTCAATGCAGCATCCTGTGTCTCGAACGCCCGTGACGATAGAGGGCGGGGCGAAATGTGACGTTGTTTGTTGCTACTCTTCTCAGCCAATGACGCTCAAGCAGCACACACGTGACGCTACAGCGCTGGTTTAAATATCAGTCCACAAGGTTCTGTATTTGGCCTACTATAATAATCATTAAATCAGCGCCCTCTAATTGTTACATCAGAAACAGTAATATTCAGAAGCGTTAACAACAAATTAACGTTAAACATGAAAATGATAGCTTTGTGTATAAATACATGAAAATACTTGCCTTTCATGAAGCACGCATAGATAGGAGAGCAATGTAGTATAAAAATCGTCCCTGATCATATCAAGGTTTTCAATTAAATGTATTTTAATGAGTATGTTGGCCCCTCTAGGTTAATTAACTTGGAACTACAGTATGAAAACATGCACGTGATATTTGATATCAATATGATAATTTAGTGGGATGATAATTTCATGCTTAAAAAATTGAAAATAATAACTTAATTAATATTTTAATTAATATCTGTGATATAAAACATTGCTATTTGCTATTGCTATAGCTATTGCATTGTTGACAATGACATTTTAGATACTTCTTTGATTTAAAACGTTGTTAAGATTAGAAAGGGAAGACAGATTTTGAGGTTTTTTTACATTCTGGCTGTTGTTTGTAAAAATATTAATATAGCAGGTTTTATTTCAGTAAAAAAAATGTTTAAATTGTATCCTTAGGAAATTCCTACAAACAAAGCTAGCACATGAGTGAAAGTTCTGCCGCTAGAGGGTCTGCGGCTCCGGTTGACGTCACCGGCTAGCTCAGCCCAAAGGAACCGATTTCCGCGAATCAGATCTTTTGACAAGTCATTTCAAAGAATCAATTAAAACGACTCAGTGATTCATTTATTTCATGACCCAAATTCGTCATCATCACGTCAGAGACATTCATTCAAAATTTTATTTGAGGTCCATTAACAATGCAATTTATTGTGAATTCGTGTGTATTAGTTCATTTTGTTGCAGCCGTGATTCATCTCAAGAAATAAAGATATTTATTATAACCAAAAAATAATTTGCATTGGCATTAAACAAGATTCATTCAGCCGCTGACTCGCGTTTGGTAACGTTAACTTTACCCCGAATGATTCAGTTCAGTCGGTCTTGTGAACCGGTTTAATTGATTCATCAAAAACATTCGACTGAAATGAACGAATCGGACATCGCTAGTGCTCACCACAAGAGAAGAAGAGCAGTTTTTATAGCATACTCACATCAGCGAAAACAACATCAGCAGCACATCATTTCATCTCAACGGTAAATGCCTGAAGATTCAACATGGTTTGCGGAGGATTTACGTGCTCGAAAAACGCCCTCTGTTCCCTAAATGTAGTTTATATGGTGAGTCGCATACACATGAATATAGCTCAGCTAGCCTGTTAGCAACGGCTAATTCTGTAAAAAATACTTAACAGTAAGTTCTACATTTATACTGGATATAATGCGTGTTATGGAGTTTTTTCCTTAATATTTACTCTCTTGGTCTCTATTTTTGCTTGGTCGTTGGTGAGGTCTTTTGTTTATTGCTAACAC